CGTTCGACTCTGTTAGAGTGAACTAAATAAGGAATCAGTTTGAGTTCACACTTGCTGATTTTCTTATAGAATTGGTAACAGATGAAAGGATAATCAAGAGTATGGGCGTTCCTATCAATTTAACCTAGTCTATACCATCTTCTTCTAGGCCCAAGTGGACGGGCAAAGTAAAGAAGAAGGATGATAATAGGACTAGGCTGGCACAAAACATGGATATCCAAAAGGTTAAAGGGAATAAGGCAGTGTATGTTCAGGGCAAATTAAATTGTTTCTTTTGTTGCAAACGAAGACACTAAAGGACGAACTGTCTAAGTAATGACGTGGCATAGGAAAATATATATTTAATCATTGAGCCATGTTATGTGGTTGTATCTATTAATTCCTGATGGATAGATTCTAAAGCCACTAAACATTTTTTGCAATTCGTTGCAAGGATTTCAGGAATCCAGAAGCCTCGATGATATGGAATATATTTGTACCTGACCTGATGTCAAGGTTGTAGCTAAGTCAGTGGGAGTTTTATATATGAAATTAGAGAGTATGAGGATATTAGTATTAGAGAACTATCTTTATGTACAGAAGTTAGACGCTATCTTATTCTTATTTCACTTGTGGTTTATAAAAAACTGTGTTGTTATTTAGTAAAACTGGTTTTATAAAATTGAATAGATATGCGATTGCTTCTGGTGCATTGGAAGATGGTTAATATACTATAATCACAAACTCTTAAGATTTGCAGGATGTAGAAACTAATGTTGCATCTTCTAGATTGAATGTTAAGAGAAAATTTGTTATTCCTGACTCATTGTATTTTTAATATATATTTTTGGGTTGTTATCAATCAAAATGAGATTCAAAGATTGGTCAAAGAAGGTTTATTACCTAGTGAGGCAGAAGAGCCTAAACCAAACTTGTGAATCCTGTTTTGAAGGATAGATAACTCTAAGGGCTTAATCAGCCAAATGAAATAGACATAAAGAACAATTGGAGTCGGTACACACGGACACGTGTGGTCTTATGAACATCCAATCAAGATTACTCACGTTTTGAATAAATTTACTTGTTGCGACACAAGTCTTATACTTTTGGTATATTCCGAGAGGGTCAAGACTGATGTGGAGCACAGATTAGGTAAACTTATCAAGACACTTCGATCTGATCGAGTATTTGAGTATTTCTTGGGATAGTGCAAAGACTATATGGTCAATGAGGGTGTTGTGTACCAGTTTTTCGCAATTAACGCTAAATTAATTTAGGTGTCAAATAGGAATAACAGAATTTCACTTAATATGGTTAGATCTATGATCAGTTATGTCACGTTATCTCTTTCATTTAAGAGTTTAGCGTTAATGACATCGATGCGCATTATGAACTGCATTCCATCTTAGTCTGTCTCAAGGATACCGTTGAGCTGTGTTTTTAACTAAATCTTAGTTTGAATCGCATGCACATATGGGGTAGTCTTGCACATGTGCGCTTGATATGGACAAGTAAGTTGGAAACAGATCATATGCATGATAGATTTGATAGATACTCTAAAATGTCACTAGGACGGATTATTTTATGATCTCAATGATAAAAGTTGATTGTTTACACTCACTGTTTATCTATAGGAGAATCATATTATGAATCACATACCTAGTAACATAGTGTTAGAGAATATGGTAAGAATACCAGATGTACCACATATGAACACACTTATTATAGAGATTGAGAATAATATATGAATTCCCTATTGATGCGTCAGCATCATCTAGTATACAGATTCCTGCATCGGTACATTGAGGTAGTGGGAGGATTATCATCCAATCCGACAGAATCATGTTTTTAGGTGAGACCATTATGGACATCCCTGTTAAACATGAGTTAGACCCAGTAAGCTACACGGAAGCGTGAACCGATATGGATACAGATCGTTTTGGCGAGTTACTATGAAATCAGAGTTGGAATCTATGTATACTAATTAAATCTGGGATCTTGTAAAATTTTCTAGTAGGGTGATACCTATGGAAGGCAAGTTAATCTACAAAAGGATATCAGAAGATTTCTTAGTGAATAAATCATAAGTGTACAAGGGAATGTCATTATTTTTCTAATTCTATATATATATTGTTGACATCCTACTCATTTAGAATGATGTGGAAGTTTTGTCATCAATAAAGAGGTAGTTGTTCAATTACTTTTAAATAAAGGATTTTCAAGATGTAAGTTATATTCCTAGGATCAAGCTTTTGCAAGATCAGGTTAAAAGGAAATTAGGCTTATCTTAATAATCCTACATTGATAAAGTTTTGACCAGGTTTGGTATGCATAACTCAAAGAATGAGTTCTTGCTTTATTGATATGGATGGCTCTCTCTAGTAAGTAGTTTTTCAAGACTATCAAAGGAGATTGAGCAAATGAGACTGGAACAATATGCTTCGGCATATGAGAGTCTCATATATGCCATGGTCTATACCAAACAGGACAACCGCTACATAGTAGGGATAGTCAGTAGAGATCAGTCCAATACTGGACTTGATAACTGGTCTGTTGTGAAAAATATCATTTAAGTACCTAAGGAGGACCAATGATATCATACTTATTTATGGATGTGATGATATGGCCCTAGTCAGGTATGCTAGTTCTGATTTTCAATCAGAAGTAGATACTATGAGGTTCATGACTTAGTGTATGTTCACTTAATGGAATGGAAATTAGTTGGTAGATTGTTAAGCAGATTTCAACTGCTGACTCAAATCTGCAGGTGGAATACATTGCAGCCTTAAAGGCGGCAAATGAAGCCTATTGGTTTGATATCACTGATTTAGAGGTTGTGGAGTATACTAGCCTGCCTATTGAGCTATGTTGCTACAATAGTGCAGAAGTAGTCCAAAACAATGACCCAAGGTTCTATAGAGGAACAAGATATACTGAGAGGAAGTATCATGTTCTACATGATATTGTCTGGCAAGAAAATGTACTTGTAGCTAGAACATTGCATTGGAATACAATTTTGTTGATTCATTATCAAAGGTGTCATTGATCAATAATTTTAATCGACATCTGGATAACATTGGAGTTATGTGCAATTTGAATTGGCTATGAGGGCAAGTGGGAGCTGTTAGGATTTATATGCCCTAGCATAGCAAATTCATGTTTGGATTAAAGTGACATATGTTCCTGACGTTTCTGAAATATTTATGTTTTATACAATTGGTGAATTCAATGTATTATATTTCGATTCATTATAGAATTGATAGTGTCCACTTGATTACAAGAGATATTTATATATGTATGTGATGGCGATCAATACATGAATATAAATAGTAATCATAAATGGTTCATAGTCGGTAATTATGGATGGACTCATAATTAATTAAGACTTGAACTGGATCCGCGTTAGGTTGAGATATATTGCGAGAGCCGTCGTATGCAATTGCTCCATATCATCGTCATGGCATTTGACTCTTAAACATGAGAAAATTATAGACTCTTTTATTAATTAATAATTACTTTGATTTGTTTGGCGAATTCTTCGGGATCCTTAGACCGACACTTTGGGTAGTTATGTGATTAATAGTTAGAGGGTTATATTTTCAATATTTGCATCATTGCTACTTGTATTTATTTTGTATTGATTGTGGTTGATCACAAAGTAAATTCGAAGGCCTTCGTATGGTTTTAGACAAAATGATTTATTATATATTTATTTATTAAATTATTATTTTTGTCAAACAAATGTTTTATTGTGATCGAGCCAGAAATAATCAATGCTACCAAAATAAATATATTAATTAAGTAGTCGGATTGATGGCTTTATTTATCCGATAACTAATTATGCATAGAGGGGTCAAAGTGCAATATTGACTTAGAGGTTATTTATTATTTAATTGGAGTTCAATTAATTTCTTTTAGTGGAGTAGAAATTAATTTATGAATTAATTGAATTGGGTCCATGGACCGGGCTAATTATTAATTCATTGTAGCTAATAAAATAATAGGCCCAATGGATTCTCACTCATAACCCAACTTGATATTGGAATCATATTAGATTTGAGACATATGAATTAGAGATTGAGAAGGATTTGTTGTTTCCTTTTCTTTATTTTTATGTTGCCTATAAATATACATGGCATATGTATATTTTAGGGGTGATTTTTAGAAGAAGGAAAAATGAATTTATTTTCTCTCTCTCTTGAAAATTAGGGTTTATGTTCTCATCTAATGGAGGCTCCCACAAGCCTAGTTTTCCAAGGTCATTCATGGAGGCTTATGAGTGATTCTTAAAGGCAAAACAATTACTAAGAAGATGGAGATCCAAGGAGAAGGCATCTTGCTAAGGGATCTACAATAAGTGAGAACACTCACTTTAGAAGAAAGATTTAAAGGTTTACTCAGACCTTTGATGTAAGTATTCAATCCATTAATTGAATGATACATTATATTTTTATTTTTACATAAAACTTGTCTCTATGTGATGAATCAAGATCTATGAATTAAAATCCCTCAAAAAGTTTTTAAAATTAGCACGTTTCCCAACAGTCACGTGGTGACATAGTTAAGTAAGTGAAAGAGCGTGTGGAAATTATGAGATTGAATAATTCATTTATTCAATACTCACTGATTGATGATAAGGTTCTCCTCATTTTCATTCCTAACCACTCAAACTTCACAGGAGGAACTCAACACTGCATAATCCACTCCTCTCTTCTTTTCTCACACATTTGAAATGGATACAGAGAACAACACTTCATCTCCCACCTCTCCACCTGCAGGAGGATGGGATTATGAAGTTTTCGTGAGTTTCAGAGGTTCAGACACCCGTGAAAACTTCACTGACAACCTCTACCACGGCCTTGTGGACGCTGGAATTCGCACTTTTCGAGACAACGAGGAGCTTCATGCTGGAGAGAAGAATAGATGAGCTTCTCAAGGCAATACAGCACTCCAAGGTATCCATCCCCGTCTTTTCCAAAGACTATGCTTCAAGTCGCTGGTGCCTGATTGAGATCGCCGAGATGGTTGAGTGTCGGAGGAAATTCGGGCAATTGATATTACCCATTTTCTTTGATGTCAAAACTTCCGATGTGCGACACCAGACTGGAAGTTACAAAGAGGCCTTCCAGAAACATGAGGAGAAATATGGTAGTGCTACTCAGGAGGGATGGAAGAAAGCCTTGACGGAGGTTGGACAATTGAAGGGACCCAAGGTGAAGAATGATAATAGGTAATTGAGTATACTTATTAATTTTATTTATAAATACTCATTAGTTTGTTTAGATATAAAAAAAATTTATTTTTTTTGGTGTTTGGTTATAATAAAATATTCAGGAAGAAAAAAAAATATTACAACCAAACAAAAATAACTTATGATCAATTTTATGTAAATTATTTTACATGTCCCAGCCATCGGAACCTCAAACGATACGTTATGTGAACCTCGACCGATACCTTTGCCAAGTACCCAAAAAAATAAAAATAAAAAAATATATATTTTATCTGAAAAAAAATATATATTTTCAAAAGAAAATATTTTACATCCAATCAAAGTGAGCCTTAACTGTATATTTTCCTTACTAGAACTAACCCAACTATCAACTTGTTTCGGTTCAGTTCTCTCAAATTAGACACTAATTTAACTTAGTTTACAAATAATAGTTTTCTCACAAATTGTTAATCAAATGAATTTTGAAGCTATTTTTTATTTTTTTTTATTTTTTTTTCCAGTTTTCAGAGAATAGACAACTACTGTTGAAAATTTAAATCAAGTAGGGGATCTATATTTGTGGATTTTTCTGTATATATATATATATATATATATATATATATATATATATATATATATATATATTTATATATACTTAACATTAATTATATGTTTGGCAGGCCAGAAGGAGAAGTGATAAGGAGGTTGTTTCAAAGGAATGGAGAGAGCTGAAAAAGAATTACTCATTGGTTGTAAAAGAATGCTTAGTTGGAATTGATGATCATGAAGAACAAATGACGAAATTGTGTGTTAATTCCAATGATGTAAGGATTGTGGGAATCCATGGCATGGGAGGAATCGGCAAAACCACTGTAGCCAAGGTCATTTACAACAAACTCTCCCGACAATTTCAATCCCGTTGCTTCCTTGAAGATGTTAGAAAAACAGCACAACAACCCAATGGTCTTGTTCATTTGCAAAACCAACTTATACCTAGCTTCTTAAAACAGGGACGTCCTATCTTAATCGAGTCTATGGATGAAGGAATTTTTGCAATCAAAAGTAGATTTTCTGGAAAGAAAGTTCTTGTTGTTGATGATGTCGATCACAGAAATCATCTTCATGCATTTGCACTTTTGGGAAAGTGTGATTGGTTTGGTTCAGGAAGTAGGATAATTATCACAACTAGAAACCAAGAGATTCTAAAACTGGTTGAGGTTAATTCGACTTATAACCCAAAGGAACTGGATTCTGATCAATCTCTTCAACTTTTCAGCAGGAATGCTTTTAGAAGAGACTATCCCCCAGAAGACTATGATACTCTATCTAGAGATGTTGTGTCCACTACTGGAGGGTTGCCTTTGGCTCTTGAGCTTATTGGTTCTTCTTTGTCTGGCAAGGGAAAAGAGGCATGGGAAGGTACATTAAAGAAGTTGAAAAGAATTCCAAATGTTTGCAGCAGAAGCTGAGAATAAGTTACAAAGCATTAGAATATGAACAACAACAGATATTTCTCGATATTGCATGTCTTTTCATTGGAGTGGATAAAAGAATTGCTTTCCACATGTGGAATGCCTGCGAATTTTATCTGGAAAATGGGATTGAAGTTCTTCGTTTCATGTCCTTGGTGAAAATTGGAGACAACAATGAGCTAAGGATGCATGCTCAGCTTAGAGACCTTGGCAGGGATATTGTCCGTCAAGAAAATTTCAAGAAGCCGGGGGAGCGTAGTAGGGTGTGGTTGCATAATGATGCGTTCGACATATTGAAGACACATACAGTAAGATCCAACTTCTTCATGAATAGATATCCCTAATTAAGCATTAATTTTCTTGTCACCTTACTAACTCAGTTATGTATGAACTACTCGAAAGTTGACATAATAACTGGAATTTCCTCAGAGTGAAAGCTTCATTAATATCAGTTATGTATATTTTTTTATTGATCTAAAGGTTCTCTTTCGGCAGGGAACAAGAAATAGATGTTTTCTGTTAAGAATTAATTTTTTCTCACCTTGCTAACGCAATTATGTATGAACTCTGAAGCAGAAAAAAAATAAATAAATAAATAAATTATGTATGAACTCAAAAGCGTGGCAGCTCAATCACTAGGCCAATTTGGCGATTGTCTTACGACTTTTAAGGGCCTCCAATAAAAAATATCTCATTATAGTCTTTTAAAGTAGGCCCCACTATAGGTTTGCCAATTTTAGCAGTTCTAATGTTAATAATCTCTAGCAAATTTCTCCTCCTCTCACACTTTTTTTTTTTTTGCTATTTTCTTCATCTATATCTATCAAACTCATGCCTTTCCACATTCTTCTAAACTTCTTCTCATGTGTTTCTTCATGTGATAAAGCATATTAGATAATTATCTTTATCTTTTCTAGGTGAGAATTTTGCATTCTAATATTAACAAATTTGCTTGAAGTTACAAAAAAAGAAAAAGAAAAAAGAGATGAGGAATTTGTAAGAAATTCAAACACTTGAAATCAGGTAAGGTTTTTTTACTAATTTGCATAAGGCCGGTTCTATTGTTCTTTAATTCACTTGCTTTTTTTTTTTTTTGTCTTTTTCTTACTGTAGTTTATCCACAAATATGTTTACTTAAAAATGTGAATTTGGATTAGTATAAATTTCGATAAAGAAAGGATTGGGTAAATTAATTCTATTTAAAAAAATAATAAAAAAATTAAGGAGCTCTAGTAATGATACAAAGGGATTTAAATGAAACTTTAGTAAATAAACAACCAAATTTTCTATCAAAATTAGTAATTTTGCATCTAGAATAATATTAGTTTTATAAAGATATATAATTTTTAATATAGATAGTAAATTAATATTAGTTATGTTATTACATGAATTCTCTCTTATATTGAGCCGCCACTGCTCAAAAGTTGAAATAATAACTGGAATTTTCTCAAAGAGAGTGAATATCGTCATTTAATACTAGTATATATTATTTATACTCATGTAAAGGTTCCCTTTTGGCAGGGAACAAGAAAGGTTGAAGCTATTTGTGTTAACTTTGAATTAGAGCCACAGGCTGAAGCTCTTACAAATGAAGATTTCGTAAGCCTATCTAATCTAAGGTTCCTTCAAGTTGGCAATGCAGAGCTGGATGGAGATTTTACGCAACTTCTTTTAAACTTAAGATGGCTTCGCTGGAACAGATGCCCTCAAAATTTTAGACCGACTACCAATTTTCGTCTAAAGAATCTGGTCATTCTTGATTTATCATGGAGTGATATCACAGCAGCCTGGGAGGGTTGGAATCATATCAAGGAGGTTTCATCAATTTCTGTGCTTTTGTTTCGTGTGTCTCATCACATAATTGTTTGTAATGTATTATAAGCAATTCTCTTTTTCCTTATTTTGCAGTTTGCAACAAAGACGTTGGAAGTTCTAAATCTCACATGTTGCAAAAAAATGGTTAGCACTCCTGACTTCTCTGCATATGCAAATTTAGAGAGATTGATTCTTGAAGACTCTGAGAATTTGGATCATATTGACCCATCAATTGGGAAACTCAACAGTCTAGTTTTCTTAAATGTGAAGAATTGTGCTAAACTTAAAAGTCTGCCTCTGGGATTTGATTCTGTGCAAGAGCTCCTCATCGATGGTACTTCTATTCAAGAAGTCCCTATTGGTAGTGGTGTTAATGAGAATCTTCAATGGTTGTCACTAAAGGAAAGTGATTTAAAAGAACTTCCTGACTCCACTGGGAAATTAGAATCATTAAATGAGCTGCGCTTGTCAGGAGCAAACTTTACAAAATTACCTGATACCATTGGCAACTTGGAACATTTGAGAATTCTTGAGGTTAGATTCCCGAATCTGAAAGAAATTAAGGACCTTGACAGATTTAAATCCTTGGAATATTTGGATATGAGTTTGTGTGAATCCTTGGAAAGATTGCCCGACCTATCAAACATGGAAATGCTAGAAGAATTAAAGCTCGTCAGGTGCCAGAAGCTGCATGTGATTGGGAGTCTTAAGGCAATGAAATCCTTGAAGATGCTGGAGTTGTCATGGTGCACAGCCTTGGAGAGGTTACCTGATTTGTCGAATTCGAAAAAGCTGGAAGAATTAATACTCTACCAGTGCGAGAAGTTACAAGAGATTGAAGGTCTTAAGGGTTTGAAATCCTTGAAGATGATGGACTTGTCATCATGTATAGCCTTGGGGAGGATCCTGATCTATCAAACTCGACAATGTTGAAATAATTAAAGCTCTACCGGTGCGAGAAGCTGCAAGAGATTAAGGGTCTTGAGGGTTTGAAATCCTTGAAGATGCTGGACCTATCATTGTGCACAGCCTTGGAGAGGTTACCTGATTTGTCGAACTCGGAAATGCTAAAAGAAATGAAGCTCCACATGTGCCAGAAGCTGCATGTGATTGAGGATCTTAAGGGTTTGAAAACCTTGAAGATGCTGGATTTGTCATGGTGCACAACCTTGGAGAGGTTACCTGATATTTCGAACTTGGAAAAGTTGGAAGAATTGAAGCTCTGCATGTGCCAGAATCTGCAAGTGATTAAGGGTCTTAAGGGATTGAAATCCTTGAAGATGGTGGACCTGTCATCTTGCACAGCCTTGGAGAGGTTACCTGATCTGTCGAACTCCAAAATGTTGGAAGACTTAATGCTCTACCAGTGCGAGAAGTTAGATAAGATTGAGGGTCTTCAGGGTTTGAAATCCTTGAAGATGCTGGACTTGTCGTCATGCATAGCCTTGGAGAGGTTACCTGAGTCGTCGAATTCGGAAATGCTGGAAGAAATGAAGCTCTACATGTGCAAGAATCTACAAGTGATTGAGGGTCTTCAAGGTTTGAATTCTTTGAAGATGCTGGACTTGTCGTGTCTTCTCCTAGCCTTTCATTCTTATATATATATATATCTCTATATATACATACCTCCACCCAATTCCATACATCCATCTTACTACTCATTATCACCAATTACAGAAGTCATTCCATTACTCAATTCCAAAATAAATCCATATACCCGAATTCATCAGACACCATCTTTCCTACCCGCATTAGAAATTCTTACCCTTACCCACTTTCCTTTCTTCCTATCTCCCCTTCTATAACTATCCCTTGTTTCTCTCCCTAAATTATCAACCCTTCGTTCAACTTCCATCATTCCATATAACCAAATTCAATCACCAAATACCATTATCCAACTTCAACGTCATCTTCCAAATACAAAATCCATCAACCAAACTTACTTCCACCACCATTCCTATACACATTCAAAACCTTCCACATCCCCATACCAATTCCATTCAGTGTTTACTCCATTATTTGCACCAATTTAGAGTTAGACATCAAAAATTCAAAGCAAGAAATTGGGGTTGTTTGCCAAGTGTTTGACAAAAGGCCTCAAAGAATTTTTTTTTTTTTCCTTTTCCATGGCTTCTAGCAAGAAGAAAGCCACACAAGGCGGTGCTTCAACATGCCGCTCCATTCAATCTTCCGCAAGGCGGCCAACTCTTCGAAATACCATAGATGAGAGGTGGTATGGTCACCAACTTAATTATGAAGTGGGTTTTGACATCGAATCACTTAATGCATGCGTTCCAAAAACTCAGTGGCCCATTGCAGATTTACAATGCCGGCAAGCTGAATGCCTTTTTGAGCCGGCTGGTAAACTCATGTACCCTAGACTAGTTAAGGTGTTTTATCAAAATCTTCATTCCAATCCAAATGAACAGGGAGCACTAGTGTCATCTGTTGATGGTGCTATACTTCGCATTACTCCTTCGACGATTGCCATGGCTTTGGGATGTCCACATCAATGCCTGGCTGATTTGGAGTCAATTCTCACTCCAATGTCAGAGGTTTCCACTAGATTGATGATTAGTCGCCTTGCTGCAAATTGTTTCTCAGGCTCCAAATATAATTCTACTGCCAAATCGTCTCTGCCATTACACCTATGGTTCGTCGATGCCATACTTTTGCACAATGTGTGCCCTCTTACTCATCAATCTGAGCGTCGTCAAGATTTTCTTCATGCTTTATATGCCATCCATTTTGGCCATTGGATATCTTTTCCTGAAATCATCTATGGGCAGCTTAGAAAATTTTATGATTTGGTGATCAAACAAACTCTGGAAAAAGAAAAAGATTGAAAGTTTCCTTTGCCATTCTTTGTTATTCGACTACTGACTTCTCAAGGCTACGCTACAAATGAGTTCGCTTCCAAGCACAATGATCACTATGGTGAGGTTGATTGGAATCGCAACCGCTCTCACATGACATTAAAGGTGGTTGCTGCACCTAGAGAGCTGGCTCGCCCAATTGTGCAAGTTGAACAAGTTTTACCTATTCATCCAAGTTAATTGGCTACTAGACAGGTCATCGAAGATGAGTCCACCGATGAACCCCATGATGAGCCTATGGTAGAGGCAGCCAGTGATGACGAGGATGATGCTGATGAGCATCCCTATGACTATTTGGTTGGTGAG